AAAATTGTTGTACCAGTGGATAGGTTTTTATCATCATGATAAATGATGGATTATCAACCATGGGCATTGGCTGAACTGTATCAATTATAAAATCAACAATAACTATCAGCCAATTTCTGAGAAATATTGGCATTTGTATTATTATTTAATTTGGTTTGAATTAAATTAGTCTTTTTGGATGTAGAGTCGCCTATACCAAAATTATTTAGATGTTTCTCCATTTCCTTAAAACTATTGGCATGAACAGTCTTATAAAATAAATACTTTTAGAATGTAAAAATGACAATTTACCTTTAGGTGTTTCTTGAGGTTATAACTGGATTGATTTGAGGAAATATTTTTTACATTTTGAACTTTGAAGCAGTTTTGGTTTTTATATTTATTTTAAAAAAAATTTCAAATCTAGGGAATGGGAAATTTGTATTATGGCTCTTAAGAACATTTTCTTCCCTGGTATCTTCCATTTCATTAATATTGTAATATAAATTGAATTTAAATTGAATATAATATTAACTTTTCGTTTGTAAATTACATAACCTGAAGGATTGAATTCATGATATATATATACGTGATATTTTGTATTAAATTTACTTTTACTTACTTTTATTTAATAAAACACTTCAAATATCATTATCTGAATCACTATCAACGATTTGGATATCCATAGGCGATGACATTTTAAATTATTAACACGTGATTTAGGTTTATAATACAAATGAAATTATAAATTACAAATTGAAAATATATTTCAATTTCAAATTTAAATAATAAATCATAAAAATTATAATTAATTATATTTTAAATTTTCATGTTTGTACTTATCTTCATTATATTTTTTGAAAGTACCTAAGTAGCACGCTAAAAAATTAAATAATTACAAAAAAAGTAGCCGCTATTAGCTATAGCTACCAAAAAAGTAGCTCGCTACTTTAACAACTCTGGTTGATAAAAAATTGTAAAATGGAAAAAGGAGAGAGAAGAAATACAGGTATAAAAGAGATTATTAGAGATTTCTCTAATTTTGGTGAAAATTGAGCTAAGGTCAAAATCTACAGTGAAATAGAATAAAAAAATTCCCGATCATTTTATTCTGATTATTAGATTTAAAAAGAGCAACCCTTATCAATTTTGATAAATATTAAATAGCTTCATTAACTTTCAGTAGAATTATGATTTTTCATCAATTAATTTTAAAAACATCATAAAATAATTTAGCAATAATAAGCCTTTTAAATTTTTAAAAATTATCTCTGGCCTTAAACTTTAAAATCAATAATCAGAATAAAAAATTGTAGATATAATAAAACTCTTAAACCCAAATTATTATTATTACTTCCTAGCACCACAGTTCCTCTCCTTGATCCACCTATGCAGTCTGTTAGTATTTGTAACGCTAGCGAGGGCGGCGCTGCTTTTCTTGCTTATGACACTTATTCCGTAAGAACCGGATGATATAGTGTTGTAATTGTTACTTTATTGTAATATAATTTTTTATAATAATATTTATAACTTAGAAATAGAAAAAGAGTCATTAGATTTACAAATGTGTTAGTGAGTCTAAAAATTTTCAAAAATTGTACCTCCCCCCCCCCTTATTTTATAAAAAAAATAGGTCACTTAATAAGGGCGGACGATATGCTTCCTCTTATACTTTCTTCTCCAAAAGACCCGCTGCTATGAGAGGGAACCGAAGTGTGTGAAGTCTGATGGTGTGTCATCAGATGACCGATAACGGCCATGATAGTCAAAGATTTTGGCACAACTTGTATAAAACCCCGACCAGGACCGGTCTGACGGCAACCATATGGTAGGAGTTTTAAATCGAGACCCTGGGTGTCTAAAGCTTTTTAAATAAAAAAATTATAATAAATATATTATTTTCGTTATAAAATAAATGATACCGAATATAAAAAAAAGTAAAATATAAAACATAATACCTAAATTGTCTTCGGATTCGACATTTCTAGATATAGATGCTTGATCTTCTTCGAGTTTCCACACCCAATCCATAACCTATAAAAAATAACATAGCGAGTCTTTATCAAAATATATCAGAATATAGACTTTTATAAAACCTATTTATCTCAATTTCAAATTCCATGAAAGACAAAAATATTATATGCTTTCGTGCCTTAGACGTTACTATGAACTTAAGTGTATAAATTTAAATATATATCGCTACATATCCTAAATTATATAAACATACTTTTCTTTATAGATTGAAATATAAATCATGTGTGTGATTGTTAGGGAAATATAGTAAATTTCAGGAACATATTATTAAAACAATATTTCGACCTAAATTATTGTTAAGTAAAACTATAAGCATTATTTTATTCCTTAAGATTTATCGGAGTAAAAATAATGGTGATTTTTTTAAATATTCACTAGCGAGATAAAAAAAGATTCCTATTAAAATACTTTTTTCTCTCCTCTATAAAAGCCAGTTAATGATATTATTATTCTACCTATGTAAATCTATGGTATGAAATGTTTAAAATTGTATTGCCTTAAAATTTTCTTGTTTAATTTTTCAACATTTCTTAGTCCAGAACGTTTTTTTAAGCGATTTGCAAAGCAAGTTTCCAGCAGTTTTTTTTTATTTCCAAACAAAGAATAATTATTTGTCAATTTAATTTTTTTGCATAAAATATATAAAATTAAAACTTGTTAACGCATCTGATAGTAGGCAGACGCCATTTAATTGTTTATTTTCTTCCGGTTAGAGGTCTAATGGGTGGGTGGGCGGATATCGGGTTAAATTTTTTTTAAACGGGCGGGCGGGTAGGCGGGTTAAGAAGAATATTTAAACTATGGGTGGGTGGACGGTTTAAAATTTATAACTTTTATTTGTTATTTAAAATCATTTAAGTAAACATTTAAAAAAATATGCTCCCTGAAATTTCAATTTTTAATATCAAAATACCAATAACTGAGGATGTTGCCGTCGGAAGAAATTAATTAGGTAAAAAATATATCGATAACATGTTGGATTTGATTTGCATGAACGTATATGAAAATCTGATCTTACCCGTTTCCCAAGTTTAATAAATTATAAAGGCAATTTTTATAGTAGCATTCAAGATATGGCTGTTACAGAGGAGAGCATTACCTACCTAATGACATAACAAAATATTTAATATAATTTTGCAAGACTTTTTGTAACTTATTTTAGTTTAAATTTACAATTTATAAACAATTAATCTAAATTACTTTTTATATTAATTATTAATGGTTTCACTTTTTATTTAAATATGTCACTTGAGTAGAGTATATACTATTCTATATTGATTGAAAAGACAAGAAAAAGATTTATCATAGCTATCAAGATTAGCTTGAAAAACATTGGCAATTCCAGCAACCAATGCTTCTTCTGAATGATGAATAGCATTGCTGGAAGATTTTTAGTATCAAATATTAATTTTCTATTATTACATAAATATTTTATTAGATCAAATAAATTCCTTACCGTAATTTAAATTGAATATTTTTATTCTTAATATAGCAATTTCCTAAATTATAAAACTTTTTTGTAGGAATGAAGCGCTTAAACTAATTCATTTTCTTTAATGCGAGCTTATTTAAATTTTATATGGGCGGCGTGGGTTAAAATTTTTTTATAAATAATGGACGGGAGGGTTTATTTTAAAAAACTATGGGCGTGTTGGGCAGGCGGTTTAAAATTTTATAAAAATATTAGCGGACTTGTGGGCTAAAAACCTGCTATTGCAGACCTCTACTACCGATATCAAGTTTTTTTAAAAATATTATTCTAAATTTTATTTCCTTTCATTCACTTTTTCCCTTTTTATATATATGATATTTGAAGTAGGTATCTGCAAAGTTAGGCCCGGCCCGAACCCGGCCCGGGTCGAATTTTATTTAAAATAATCAGGTTCGAACCGGGCCTAATATTTTTTTTCGGGCTGGGTCGGGTCGGACCTTGGAGATTTTTTTTAAATATATCTAAATTTATCAATTTTATATTGAATTTTTTATGTAAAATAAAAATAACATATGTTTTTTATTTTGAGTAATTATAAAAATTAATTTCTCTATTTAAATTAATTCAGGCCGGGTCGGGCCGGTAAATTTTTTTAAAAAAAAATCGGGTTCGAGCCGGGCCGGCTAAACTTTTTTAAAAAAATTTCGGGCCGGGCTTGAAAAATTAGGCCCGATGCAGATCACTAATTTGAAGCGAACGTATACAAATTTACTTGAGAATTACTCTCAAAAGGACTAGAAATTTAAAACGAAATTTTTGATAAAAAGCAAATAAAGGGCCCAAATCAAAACGATGAAGGCAACGTCATACGGAAATAGTGTTAAAGAGTGTTATATTGTAACTTAAATTACTCATACCTTTAAGGTTTGGAGGGTTAGCATATCTTGTCTTAAATCGTCTCCAGATTTGAAAATCAATTCTCTAAATCCCACAGAAGCTTCTGGCAGGTTAGTGTAACGGTTTATTTTATTATGCAATCTCTGTATAAATATACATATATAAATAGTGTCTAGTTATTCGTTAATATTTTTCGCATAAATGATAGTTTTTATTAAGATAAAAATTATATGTTAATTCGGCAAATTGCTCTCCTTAAAAAAAGTTAATGGTTATGGTTTAGAATTAAAATCGTTGCTCAAAAAATTAGTAATATCCAGATAACGCGAAAATAATCAGAAATGTTGCTATGTAAAGAAAAAATATAAAATATGATTTCCTTCACCAAAGAACCAACGTCAGTCGGTTGATTATCCATTAAGGGCGAACCATCATAACTTCCAGTGGGAGAAGAGTTAGGCGAATTTTTTTGTTTTTTATTTAGACGGGGTGGAGTGCCAGCCTTATTGATATCAATTATAGGATTGGCAAAATCAGAAGGGGAATGAGACGCTATAAGTGAATGAATCGAGGATGAATCTGAGTTCAGTAAAGGGTCCGGGTTTGTCCAAACTAACCAAAATGGCTTTTTGGCAGATGATAATATCTTGCATTCGTCAACGCTGTTTATGCATACATTTTTAATATAGGAAATATAGAGGTTTTATTATCAACTCAATTTTTTCATACTTATTTTTCTTTTGTTTCTTTATTTATTCTTATTTATTTTAAAGCTATTATTGATAGATTTCTAAATTTTGAAATTCAGTAGAATAAGGTATTTAAAATATTAACTTACATTAGTTCGCCGAGAATATAACTATTGTCAATAGGAGAGGGTAAATTTTGCAAGGCTTCTTGAAAGTCTGGCTGCCTCAATTGATGCCGAAAAAATTTCAATTTTTCCTAATTTTATAGAGGAAGATATAAGAACTTTATATTTCTTCCCTTTAGATAATTTTAAGAGAAAAAAAAGCTTTATAGATATGGTGGATAACTGTATATAGTAGTATTCTATTTAAAGTTGTTAAACGTTACTTTTGAAAGTAGCGCGCTGTTATTGTCAAAAAAGGAAGCCCGGTACCGCTATCCCTATTTTTTTTTAAGTCGTGTACTAAAAGCTAATGAGATTTTAATATTTTTAAACAATTCCCCCCCCCCTTTTTCACTTGTATTGAAAAGAAATTGATATAAATTAATTATATTTCTTCAGTAATTGTATATTTTTTTCTTATCGTTAATTTAATTTTTATTTTATTATTTAAAATCTAATTTATAAATGTATTTACTTATACCACTTAATATGTTTATAAATTTTGTTATAAAAAAATATATAATTTATAAATTTATAATTATATAATTAAAAATAAAATTCTATAATTGAGTCCCCAAAAAGGAACCATAATTGTGTCTAAAAATTTCTATTTGAATTTTTTGTCGAATAAAAAGAAATTCTCTGGGTTCATTTGTGAAAATTTTTATACTGGGCTCATTTGTGAAAATTTTTATAAAAAACTTTTAAAATATTATAAATCTACGACTTTTCACAAATGAACCCAGGGAATTTCTTTTTATTCGACAAAAAATTCAAATAGAAATTTTTAGACACAATTAGTGTTGTTAAAACGCCGCGAGTCGCGACCCCGACCCGAATTCGACTCCGACTCAATATTTGGGTCGTTTTTTTCGACTTCGACCCGAGTTCAAGCCGAAAAAAACGACTTCGACCCAAAATATGGGTCGTTTTTTACGACTCCGACTCAAAATTTGGGTCGTATTTTTCGACTCAAACTTGAAATTTGGGTCGTATTTTTCGACTTAAACTTGAAGTTTGGGTCGTATTTTTCGACTAAAACTTGAAGTTTGGGTCGTATTTTTCGACTCCAACTCAAAGTTTGGGTCGTTTTTCTGACTCAGACTCAAACATCGGGTCGTTTTTATTCAATCCGACCCAAAATATGGATCTTTTTTTTTAAAGACGACTTAAAGTTAGGGTTGCTTTTTTCACCCCTAACCCAATATCTAGATCATTTTTTTCGACCAAAAGTCAAATAACATTTAGTATATATTAATATTATAGGCGGGAAAGTTACTTAAAGCTTCTTTAAATTATAATGCTCTGATTAACTATTCATCATAGTTATATTTTAAAATTTTTAAGTGGTGTACCATAGAAAAGTGCCATTTGTCATGATAATTATTTTTGAACTTTTTTAAATGAAATAGAAAAATATATATTGTAGACATGTTAAATCAAAATTTCAGTGATGATGTACCATAGATAAGTGGTAATTGTCATAATCGCTATTTTTGAACTTTTTTGAGTTTTTTTAAAGCAAATTGCTAAAAATATATATTCTAAACATGTTAAATTAAAAATTCAGTGAGGATGTATCATAGATAGGTGACAATTGTCATAATCGCTATTTTTGAACTTTTTTCAATTTTTTAAAGGAAATAGCAAAAAATATATATTCTAACCATGTTAAATTAAAAATTCAGTGAGGATGTATCATAGATATGTGACAATTGTCATAATCGCTATTTTTGAACTTTTTCAAATTTTTTAATGGAAATATCTAAAAATATATATTCTAAACATGTTAAATTAAAAATTCAGTGAGGATGTATCATAGATAAGTGACAATTGTCATAATCGCTATTTTTGAACTTTTTCAAATTTTTTTAAAGGAAATAGCTAAAAATATATATTGTAAAGATGTTAAAATAAAATTTCAGTGAATACCATAGAAAAGTGACAATTGTCATAATCGCTATTTTTGAACTTTTTCAAATTTTTTTAAAGGAAATAGCTAAAAATATATATTCTAAACATGTTAAATTAAAATTTCAGTGAGGATGTATCATAGATAGGTGACAATTGTCATAATCGCTATTTTTAAACTTTTTCAAATTTTTTTAAAGGAAATATCTAAAAATATATATTCTAAACATGTTAAATTAAAAATTCAGTGAGGATGTAACATAGATAGGTGACAATTGTCATAATCGCTATTTTTGAACTTTTTCAAATTTTTTTAAGGAAATAGCTAAAAATATATATTGTAAAGATGTTAAAATAAAATTTCAGTGAAGATGTACCATAGAAAAGTGACAATTGTCATAATCGCTATTTTTGAACTTTTTTCAATTATTTTAAAGGAAATAGGAAAAAATATATATTCTAAAAATGTTAAATTAAAAATTCAGTGAGGATGTATCATAGATATGTGACAATTGTCATAATCGCTATTTTTGAACTTTTTCAAATTTTTTTAAAGGAAACATCTTAAAATATATATTCTAAACATATTAAATTTAAAATTCAGTGAGGATGTATCATATATAGATGACAATTGTCATAATCACTATTTTTGAACTTTTTCAAATTTTTTTAAAGGAAATATCTAAAAATATATATTCTAAACATGTTAAATTAAAAATTCAGTGAGGATGTATCATAGATAGGTGACTTTAACATGTTTAGAATATATATTTTTAGCTATCTCCTTTAAAAAAATTTGAAAAAGTTCAAAAATAGCGATTATGACAATTGTCACATATCTATGATACATCCTCACTGAATTTTTAATTTAACATTTTTAGAATATATATTTTTTCCTATTTCCTTTAAAATAATTGAAAAAGTTCAAAAATATTGATTATGACAATTGTCATCTATATATGATACATCCTCACTGAATTTTAAATTTAATGTTTAGAATATATATTTTAAGATGTTTCCTTTAAAAAATTTGAAAAAGTTAAAAATAGCGATTATGACAATTGTCACTTTTCTATGGTACATCTTCACTGAAATTTTATTTTAACATCTTTACAACATATATTTTTAGCTATTTCCTTTAAAAAATTCTGAAAAAGTTCAAAAATAGCGATTATGACAATTGTCACCTATCTATGATACATCCTCACTGAATTTTTAATTTAACATGTTTAGAATATATATTTTTAGATATTTCCTTTAAAAAAAGTTCAAAAATAGCGATTATGACAATTGTCACTATCTATGATACATCCTCACTGAAATTTTAATTTAACATGTTTAGAATATATATTTTTAGCTATTTCCTTTAAAAAAATTTGAAAAAGTTCAAAAATAGCGATTTTGACAATTGTCACCTATCTATGATACATCCTCACTGAATTTTTAATTTAACATGTTTAGAATATATATTTTTAGATATTTCCTTTAAAAAAATTTCAAAAATAGCGATTATGACAATTGTCACCTATATATGATACATCCTCACTGAATTTTAAATTTAACATGTTTAGAATATATATTTTCAGATATTTCCTTTAAAAAATTTGAAAAAGTTCAAAAATAGCGATTGTGACAATTGTCACCTATATATGATACATCCTCACTGAATTTTAATTTAACATGTTTAGAATATATATTTTTAGCTATTTGCTTTAAAAAAATTGAAAAAAGTTCAAAAATATTGATTATGACAATTGTCACCTATCTATGATACATCCTCACTGAATTTTTAATTTAACATATTTAGAATATATATTTTTAGATATTTCCTTGAAAAAAATTTAAAAAAGTTCAAAAATAGCGATTATGACAATTGTCACCTATCTATGATACATCCTCACTGAATTTTTAATTTAACATGTTTAGAATATATATTTTTAGCTATTTCCTTTAAAAAAATTTGAAAAAGTTCAAAAATAGCGTATATGACAATTGTCACCTATCTATGATACATCCTCACTGAATTTTTAATTTAACATGTTTAGAATATATATTTTTAGAGATTTCTATATTTTTAGATATTTCCTTTAAAAAAATTTGAAAAAGTTAAAAAATAGCGATTATGACAATTGTCACTTATCTATGATACATCCTCACTGAATTTTTAATTTAACATGTTTAGAATATATATTTTTAGCAATTTGCTTTAAAAAAAACTCAAAAAAAGTTCAAAAATAGCGATTATGACAATTACCACTTATCTATGGTACATCATCACTGAAATTTTGATTTAACATGTCTACAATATATATTTTTATCTATTTCATTTAAAAAAGTTCAAAAATAATTATCATGACAAATGGCACTTTTCTATGGTACATCACTTAAAAATTTTAAAATATAACTATGATGAATAGTTAATCAGAGCATTATAATTTAAAGAAGCTTTAAGTAACTTTCCCGCCTATAATATTAATATATACTAAATGTTATTTGACTTTTGGTAGAAAAAAATGATCTAGATAATTCGGTTAGGGGTGAAAAAAAGCAACCCTAACTTTAAGTCGTCTTTAAAAAAAAGATCCATATTTTGGGTCGGATTGAATAAAACGACCCGATGTTTGAGTCTGAGTCAGAAAAACGACCCAAACTTTGAGTTGGAGTCGAAAAATACGACCCAAACTTCAAGTTTGAGTCAAAAAATACGACCCAAACTTCAAGTTTGAGTCGAAAAATATGACCCAAACTTCAAGTTTAAGTCGAAAAATACGACCCAAATTTCAAGTTTGAGTCGAAAAATACGACCCAAATTTTGAGTCGGAGTCGTAAAAAACGACCCATATTTTGGGTCGAGGTCGTTTTTTCGGCTTGGACTTGGGTCGGAGTCGAAAAAAACGACCCATATTTTGGGTCGAAGTCGTTTTTTTCGGCTTGAACTCTGGTCGAAGTCGTAAAAAACGACTAAAACTTTGAGTTGGAGTCGAAAAAAACGTCCCAAAATTTGGGTGAGCTCTGTTCGAGCCGACTCGGCTAAGCCGATTAACAACACTACTTGTTACGTATACCTACTAAGTTTTTTTTCTGAATTATATTATTTTTTCAATTGATATTTTTCCATTATTATGTATTTTGATTTATTTAATCTTTCAATAACATTTTTTTTTAATTATTATCTTTGTTG